GGTAATAAAGATACTTGACTATAAGGAATGTTTCTTCATGGAGAAAAAAAGATTACGAACTATGGTTTCATATAGCTGTGACTTATTCCTAGATGCATCCGATTCCGAGTTAGCCAACTCATTTGCCAGTGTATTTACCTTCTGAAAAATGTATTAAACAAGTTATTGAGAACTGGTCTTGGTTCTGTTAGTTCTTCCTAATTCTTTTAAAACTATTGATGGCTTTCCAAATTTTCTAGATCACAGTAGCAGTATCGAACTTTATAAAACTGATGGCTCATCTGCAATTATTTCTATCTTACCATTGTTTTCTTTGTTTTTAAATACTTAAAAATGTTCTCCTTGGTTTTTTTTTTTTAATAGACACATCATTAAAAGAGAAGGGTAACTGTGGTAACCTGTAATCCCTTTGCCGGAGCCCTACATGCCCAATTAAAATGCTTCTATTTTTTCTTATTGTATTGCCATCCTCACAAATGTTCGTATACAACATGAATCAAATAAAATTGCCAAGAACTGTCACTTGATTGCCATTAAAATTAAAATACGTTCCAAATACAGATCTGGAAATAAAGATGCAATAGAATCAAAAGAACATAAATTAAGAGAATACCTTATACATTGCCTTAGGTTACCCCCAAGGACTTAGCATACCCCACATCGGGTCTCCTCCACCAATAGTACATGGGATCTAAGTCCAAGAACTTGTCTCACAAATTTGGGATGCCTAGGAAAAAACCAGTAGAGAGCGTAACATAATATATGTTTGGCCAAGGCTCAACACATGAACATGAGGCCAAGACCTAGGGCTAGGGTATGTGGCTTGGGCATGCCACCCCTTGGCTTAGTTTTACTTCCTAAGCCCTAAAGTTTGGAGAGAGAAGAAGATAGATATTTAGAGAGTGGCGTGTCAGTCCTTCGGGTGGTAAACATAGCATCACAATAGGAAGAGGTCGCAGGCAATCTTCATATACAACATGCTAAGAAGTTTATAGTTGTTAGCTAACAATTTAACCACTTGTTTGAAAATTCCAACCAATTACAGAGAAGAGTAGGAGACGACCACTGTTCTGGTTTCTTTGTTTTACCTACTGCAACAAGTAAAACTGATACCAAGATGGATGATTGCTTATCAAGTGAAAATGACTAAAATTTGATAATATGAAGGAACTCAACTCCCCAAAATAAATGCTTCAGAAACCAGCATGATTCTGCCACACAAAATTAAGTGGAATGCATCGTCGTCATGTCACCTCTCAGCACTACCAAGCATTACCACACTTACCTATGTATCTCCAATATCTCCTCCAAGCTTGCCAAGCATTTTGCACTTGCACCCCATGATTTTTCATGCATTTCTCAGGCTAATACATTTGAAGTATTCGTCAGAGTTTTCCACTGAATTTTCAGCACACATCTAAATGCTTTCATTTTCATAAAAGATTCCCTATTATGGCATCATATTCTATGTATCTATTCCGATCATGGGGACCAAGTTTTACTAACTTCTTTTCTCTTTTTCAAGACTACACATGAAATTGCTCCGATCATGGGGACCAAGTTTTACTAACTTCTTTTCTCTTTTTCAAGACTACACATGAAATTGCATTTCCAGTAGAAATTTATCAATCGAAAGACGATACCTTGTTTCATGGTACTAAAAAACAAATTTTCAATAAATTGTTCAGTGACCAATCTGACATGATAATGAGGCAGTGTTTAGCCAAAAAAACACCATCCAGAAGGTAGGCACACAATACCCGAAGCTTTCAATTTCAGTCACTAGGACCTATCTTTACAATTCTTTGACCATGTTGTTAAATATCACCCCAATTTCTTTCATAATCGTGATACTTATCATACGATCATAGAGAAATTAGACATGGCTAGGGATTTGAATTCCATGGAAATTATACTCAAAGAGTTAAAAGGATTCCAGAATTTTTTCTGTGAAGTAACATTCATAGATGTGATTCCAAACTATGGCTTTGCAAACAAGCCCAAGTTGGCCTTCAGTCCTTTTTCAAGATGAATGAGTTTGGGATAAACAAGTCAGGTCTTTTAATGCTCTTTTGAACGCAATGATTCAGATCTTTTTATACTCTTTTGAATGCAATGATTTAGACCAAAAAGCTTTATTTGGTTAATTATATGTATTGTATAGGAATTGAAGGAAATTTGGGATATTTCCAATTGTTTTTACCTGCAATATCCTAATTAAGGCCTTGTGTTAAATGAACGATTTGAAATCAGCTTTCTAGGTTTTGGAGGAGATGCCAAGCTATTTTTTTCCAAATACTGCAACTCTATAAGCTGTGACTTGCAGTTATGAGTGGATTTTGTGGAGTAAAAAGGATTTTTGGATGAGATTATAAGCAGAGTTTGGGTCCCTGAACGTTCACCTTACACAGCATAATTGATGGTTTAGGGAAATTAATGGAGGCTGTTAAGCTCATAGTGACATGGAGGACAATTGGGCTCTTCCAAATGATGTCACGTATGGCGTAGTTATTAATCTTACCATAAAGAGGGGCGACCAAGCGAGGCTTTAAGCCTTTTGAATGAAATGCTTGAGAAGAAGTTTATACCATCGTGTTGCAAATTTTTTTATCTTATTTGTCAAGAAGGCAAGGTTGATGAGGCTTGTATGCTATGGAAGAAGCTCTTAAAGAGGAAATGCACCCCGATAATGCTATATATAGTACTTTCATATATTGTCTTTGTAAAGGTGGTAAACTTAATGCGATGAGGAAGCTTGTTGATGAGTTTGAGAAAGGGTTTTATCTAAGTACATTGACATATAATAGAATGGGGAGTTGTGAGAGGCAGGGAGATTATGGGATGATGTACTCGACAAAGCGTGTGTTAGTTTTTCACTTACAATAGGTTGATCAAAGGGTTTTCTAGCACTGGAAGGGCAATTGAAGGTTTTAGCATATTTGGAGGAAATGCTGCGCAAAGGGTGCAAAGCCAATAAGTCCACTAATACCCAACATAGTGTGCTCCCATGATGGCGTTAGACTGTTTAGGACAATAGAGGCTGGTATGTGGTCTGGGATTGTTTTCCCGAATGTGTCTTTTACGAGGACATTCATTTTTATTAACATGCTCGGTGACCAAGTCTATTTCTTTCACCCTTCAAGAATTGTACTTTTCTAGTTGGAGTTGAACTTGGGTCTTAGAGTTAATCTCATATTTTTAAGGCATGGCACCGATCATATTTTTAGCGATGCAGTCCGCTACAACTCTAATCAAATTCCCCTCCATGAAGCTTGACATTATTGTCCTATCTACTTTGACATCTTCTAGCCATTTTTCTAATATTCTTCTAGCTTGGCCATTGGCATTAGGTTTTATAATTGGAGGATCTAATTTAAGTACATCACCACCCTATCATGGAACCATACATATCTTCTTTTTTTTTTTTTTTAACACAAAAATTTGTTCTATTAATTTTATCTAGCAGTGGTACCAGATCGTCATCTAAAAGTTCCATGACCACCCTATGACCGCACTTTGGACATCAAGCCAACCCAACAAATCCACGATCCACATGTCTCCCATGCAATGGGCTCGTCGTTAGCCTATCAATGATAACCAAGCCATAGAGGGACCATGGATAGCTATAGATCCTACGTGGCCACTCCAAGGACAAGTTTGTGGTCACAAAGATCAAGAACTGCATAGGAGTGTCCTGATCTCTTTCTTCAGTGCAAGGGGAGTCCAACTACATGCAAAAGAAGAACCAAGTACGCCTTTCTTTCCCATTTTGGTCCAATGTCATTGTCATGCTTGCGTGCTACGTAGGATGCCATGCAGAGGCTTTTAGGTACTCGCCTTTACAAGCCACCGTCTCATTGAACAATTAGGTTGGTTTCCTCTTGTCTCGCTTTGCTCAATAGAGTCTTGGTTTCCTCCTGGCTCAGCATCCACCACCTTGGATCCTCTTTGGCTGTGCGTATTACATGGACTATACACATCCACCACCTTGGATCCTCCAAGTCAATGCCTTTTCACATGCCAAGGCGAGAGTTATGGAGCCCCCTATGTCCTAGCTAGAATCAGCTCCAACCAGCTCTAGTAGGTTGTTTCATCCAAGTAAAGCCCTACTCTAATGGCCTTTTTCATCCAATTAGAGTACACCTTCCGTGATGATCTTTTCCTTCCAAGTAGCACATATCACATAGCATGTTTTATCCATAGAGCCTTCCTCACACATCTTTCACCCATGGATGTGGCGTCCATTACTCTAATGGTTGCTTTCACTCAATTAGAGCCATACTCCCAGGGCTGCAAAAATATGCGTACTTAAACACATATGAATATCTGAGAGCGGAAATCAAAAAACCCAAGCGGCTTTAAAGGCGATTTATTAGGCTTTCGATGCACTCATGCCATATGAATTACACTGTTCTTCATATTACATGTACATGTTTGACCGTTGCCTATATAGAGCTTTTGTAATACTTTATATTTTGTATCTCATTTCTTTTGTGCTTCTTATACTTGGAATATTGGATTTCTGTTCGTTTCCTATATTTTAATGGAAACTGCTAAATGCCTTCCTTCTATTGAAAACGCAATTAATGGAATACTGAAGCGAGCTTCTAATGGGGTGGGAGCTGGTCACTTTTAGTATTGGAATGTTGGTCCACATTTTGAGCATTATGTCGTAGATTTGGTGCAGTTATTTTTTGTGCATGGTTCTTTGATACTGCAAACATGAAGAAAACACCCACTTTACTCATTCAAAACACTCCCGGCCATGCAGGGGCCTTTCGTCTTATTGTCTCTCTTGTAATCTTATTTCAGTAATATAAATGTTAACACTTACCAAAAAAAAAAACAGATCAAAAAGGGGAAAAAAAAAGACGGAACTATAAATCATGACCAAATATCTTGTTAATGCTTCTGGAATGACTGCTTCAAATAGACACAAGTATAGCTTGAAATTTCTTTAATGTTAACTAATGGCTTTTCATATCCCGCTGGGCTTACAAGACCTCACCTTGTTGCGCAGCAGCTCAATTGATTTTGAAACTTTTGGTTCATGAAATAATGTATCAAATTTTACGGTGAAGATGGAGTATTGGGGTAAGTTCTCATCTCCTTGCTTTCCCTGTGAAATGAAGATGAGCTGCAGTTAATATTTAGTGTTTAAACCAAATGGATACTTTGTATGCTTCAATATTCTAATGCACTAACCATGGTATTGCTGGACCAAACCATGTGAAGTTATGAACATTTGTTGCCATGGGATGTGTAGGATTATATGCATGCTCATGAGTGTGGCTTGCTGCTGGACGTCAATATGTGTTAGAAGGCTTATCATCTTAAACAAGGGAGTCTAAAGTGAAAATAGTCAAGTTTTTTGAAGAAGATTGAACATAAAACTAGGAGATGCATGAAGCTTTTCTCAGTAATGCATATTAACCTTAGGATATATTCTCTTTTTATAATTCTTTTCTGGCATGCAGTGAGAAATAGAGCATCAACATGTGAACTTGTGCAAATATAGGGCTCATGGTATTAAGAGGATATGTTATTTTCTGAGATGGGAGATGGAACCTTTATTCTTCCTTGTTTTTTATCCAAATCAAATGTAATTGTCATTCAAAATTGGGTTGTTAGAAACATAAGTATGGTATCTATCAATTTCAGAGTAGTATTTGTTAAGTTTCTAGACTAGCAACATACTTGTGAACTTTCAAGGATTGTACCTTTTCTAAGTGACAAGCTTCTGCCATTTAGTGGTTTTTTATTTATATATATATATATATATTTTTTTTTTTGTTAATAAAGATACTTGACTATATGGAATGTTTCTTCATGGAGAAAAAAGGACTACGAACTATGGTTTCATATAGCTGTGGCTTATTCCTAGATGCATCTAATTCCGAGTTAGCCAACTCATCAGCCACTGTATTTATCTTCTGAAAAATGTATTTAACAAGTTATTGAGAACTGGTCTTGGTTCTGTTAGTTCTTTTAAAACTCTTGATGGCTTTCCAAATTTTCTAGATCACAATGGCAGTATCAAACTTTATAAAACTGATGGCTCATCTGCAATTACTCCTATCTTACCACTTTAGATAATATCAATCCTCAAAGTTCTATTTAGGCTTGTCATTCCATACGAGACTATGTTATTGTTGGTTATGTGGCCTTTCAAGGCCTTAAAGCCAATAGTCTTACGCTTAGTGCGAGTTAGAGAGAGACTGAATCTGGATGCTTGGCGCACTGGGGCCTAGATTCATATACCCCGAGTATTTGAGGCATTGAGAGTATACGTTTTGAGAGTGTGAACTCTCGGGGAGGTGTGAGGGTCACCTCCCAGTCATGAGTATATTGATTAGAATGGCTCATAGTTGATGTGATAAGCCACGGCTTTGAGAATCCAATCGAGAATAATAGAACACGAGTATTTAAAAGAGTATTCGCCCTGTATGGAATGGTCGGCTCATAGGACATGAGCCCATATACTGGCACGAGACCTTTCTATGGCATGTGCACCCCACAGTCGTTTGGAGAAGCCCCTCTTCTATAGTATTATCCGACTTAGAAGAGCTAGTGCACATGTGCTTTGAGAGGACCCCTGTATTTGAATAAGAACGTGCCCCACAGGGGTGCTCCAGTAATCCATTGAACCCCCGGTGATGGGAAGCTCTGGCTCGGTGAATTTGATGTTAGCAATTATGTTTCCTTGCCATAGACTATGGAGCATAGGTTCATTGGGCCGGCTTGAGACACCGGTGGAACGTCATTTGGGTTAGCCCAATGGAAGACTCTGACTGGTGTTATAAGTCAAGAGATCTCATTTACCTTTGGCTCAAATTAATCTAAAATTGATGAGAAAATATTTTATATTGATGAGAAATTGTGTAATAATGTTGAGAAATCATTTAGAGAATTTTTTTGGGATTTTTGGAGAATTTTTCAAATGTTTTAAACAATAAAAAATGTGATTTTCAAATTTGTTTGACGTAAATACCAAACAAGGACATCCTATGGGGATGCCACATGGATCCCAAGTGGCCATAGGGATGCCATGTGGCACCCCCACCTCCCCACTCGTGGATGACATCGTGCTGACATCATATCCATGTGGGGACCTATTTGTCATTAATTCTTTTGTTGGCATTATGTTATAACATGTTATCTTGTTA